AAGTAATAGTTCCTATCAGCATTATTATTTTAACTATGGTTGGTTTTGATAAGATCTGAAGTTTGTATACATATCATTTATGTGCATTAGGCTCTTTGCACACCCACATGAAGGCCAAGCAATGCTGCACTTCCACATACATGCGTCTGAGTAATGTGACAGGCTTCCACCTGTAGGCAGATGTTCTGATGGGAGAATCCCATAGATGCAGTGGGATCAGTATGAAAATAATGTCAAGAAACTGGCTCTAGTTCTAGTCTGTTACATTTCATCATGGCTCCACTGTTTAATTGCAGACAAGTTACTTAACCTCCCTGGGACTCAGTTTTAACTCTTTACAATGGGAATAATAGCAGTACATAATGCACAGGCTTAGAGTGAGGATTACATGATATATATGAAAACTTTAGTGCATTGGATCATCTTTAAAAATTACCCCCAAAATATTAACTCCTGGTATATCCTAAAGTTTGCCCTTTCTGCCCAGAGTCAAAGTATAGGGGGAAATAAAAGTGCTGGATTGTGATTTGGGGTGAAGTGCTGATTTGGCCATAAATTAGCCAAGTGATGTTGCACATGACTTTGCCACTCTCTGTACCTCAGTTTCCCCAACTGCAAACTAAGGGGGTTGCATTAGGTAAGCCCTTCCAACTCTGACTCTGAAGGAGGGTTGACAGTTGAAAGTTATATGGTTGCCTCCTGTGGTACCCCGAGTAAGAGGCTGTAAAGAGCACATGAGCTCACGTCTGCAAGTGCTTAGCACACAGAAAGGGAACTCAGTAGTAGAGTGTTGTTTTCATAATCATTATTGATGCCAGTTGTACATGAACCTCATCATTGGGCATGGTGCTCTTTTTAGAGCCAGACCAAGTATACATGTGTCTGTTCCAAGCATTATTTCTGATGTCAACAAAGGTTTTCATGAGGACAGTTGCCATCCCAGGGACACACTTGGGTAAGGGTGGACCAGCCTCTGCATGCTGACTGTCCAGATTCTATGATTCCCTGCCAGCCTGAAGGCGGTAACAGCCATCTCTCCTTCTCCATGCTGCCCAGAACAGCTCTTCAGGGCTGGAAAGAACTTCAGACTGTATCTTGCTCAGTCCTCTTACCCAGGGTGGATATGAGAAGGACAAGTGACCTACCCAAGTTCCATAGAGTCTTACTACACCTAGGACCGTAAGGCAGTGTGTGTGGTATTGAAAGGAATATCTGGGTTTGATTCTTAGCTTCTCAACTTGTGGGCTAAGTGTCCTCATAGGACTTCAGAAAATGGTGATAATAACAAAGTCTGCTTCCCAGAGTGGTTGTAAAGATTGAATGAACATGAATATGACATATAGTAGTAAGCCGCCATCAATAGCATGAATATTATTCACATCTCTCTATTCCCCCTCTGATACTCTTTAACCATACCACTCTGGAAACACCCAATATGTTGATTTTTGGATTTCTTTTCAGTTGGGAAGCTGTGTGAAGTAGTAGAATTGGTCTGGTCTGAAAACCTGATGACCTGATTGGGACCCTGACTCTGCCTCTCTGCAACACTGCTGGCCACTTTCCCTCTCTGGCCCTTAGTTTCTTGCTCTATAACAGCACTGCCCAGTAGAAACATAGCATGAGCTACATATGTAATTTAAAATAGTTTAGCAGCCACTTTATAGAAAGTAACATGAATAGGGAACATTAATTATATTTTTTGCTTAACCTACTATATCCAAAATAACAGCATTTCAACACATACTCAATATTAAAAAGTCATTAATTACATATTTTAGAGTCTCTTCTTATTAAGTCTTTGGAATCTGGGTGATTCTCAATACAGGGTGATTTTGGCAATTGTCTGAGAAGGGTTTTGTTTGTCAAAGCCAGGGTGGAGGGGAGTGGAAGTGTGTGAGTGCTCCTGGCATCTAGAAGGCAGAAGCCAGGGATAGTGCAGAACATTCTACAATGCACAGGAGGCCCTACCCGCCGCCCCCAACAGGATGATCTGCTCCAAAATGTTAACAGAGCCTGTTTTACACTTATAGCATCTCACTGTTCAGATTAGCCACTTGTCAAATTCTCAGTAGCCACATGTGACGGGTGGCTGGTGACTGCCATATTGGATGATGCAGATATATAACATCAACTTTTAAACATAAACTTAGAACATTTAAACATAAACTTAGAAAAGACAAGTTTTTAGGTACTTGAGTTTTGCTCATTTTGTGTGTGTGTGTGTGTATTCATCTTTGAGTAATTGGCCACAAGAATTATGGCCAGTTCACCAGTCCCTGGTAGGCTAAGGACACAGCCCATCTGTCCTGGCTGGCCAGACCCTTCTAAAGCTTCCCGCCGTCCCCAGGGAGACAGAGCCTGGGACAGACAGTGAGCTCTCTTGTTCTTTCCTGGGGAGACAATGCTATAGGCCCTGCTACACCTGCCTGACAGGGCCATTGTGGCTTGAGGAGAAAAGGGCTTTGTCAGGACAGCAGCAGAGGAGCCTGTAGTTCAATGGGGCCATTTATGTCTACCCTGGTGAAATGCTCTGATGCCAGCCCTGGGAAGGCCCAGCCCCCTCCTGAAACAGATGGGGAGCCTGAGGCCCAGAGAGGGTGTGGAAGGCTCTGCTCCCTCCACCCTCTCCCACTGTCCTAAAACACAACCTTCATCACACTCTGAAAAGGCCTGTCTCAAAGCACTGGATGAATTCATTAACCCCAGACAAGGGGGCCTCTGGCTTGGACCCTAAAATTTAGTGGCTCCACAAATCACAAATACTTTCAAAAATAAATGTTTTAAAGAACACATATGGGCAGCTCTGTGTCTCAGGATCTGGGCTCAGTTTTAGCAACTGCAATCCTAAACCTTTTCTCTTGTGATTTGAAAAGTCAAGCCACTAAGAGAAGTTGCTAGATCTTGTGTTCTCAAAACATATACACACTCAGTTAACTATGGGAGATGATACATGTATTATTACCTTGATTGTGGGAATCATTTCACAATGTATACCTATATTAAGTCCACATGTTGAACACCTTAAATTTATACAAATTTTATTTGTTAATCATACTTTATTAAATCTGGGGGAGTGGGAGGGTCAGGTCAAAGGGGAATATTCCTTTGAGACAGGCATTTGTCCTATGCCCTATGGAACAACAGCAATTGAGTTTGAATGCAGTGAAGTTTTGAGGGCTGTACCATGGCCAGATTCAGAGTGGACATTGGTTTGTAGCACAGGAGGATATGAATAGCAGAAATGCTTAGGGAGAGAAAAGATAAGTTAAATTCGCTTGTCAAATCCTCCTTCTCAGGTAGCATGGCTGCCTATATTTTTCCATAAGGAAGTATCATTTCCCAGTCTGGCCAATCATCTGGTTTCTTGTTACTCTGTGTTCCACTTCGTGCTGGCCTTGGACATGCTCACCTCCATTTGAACTCTGGACCATAGCCCTCCAAAGTTAGGGGCAGGCCTGGACACACTTAATGACCTGTGCACTTGTATGTATTCTGTTGGCAATGTCAATAACTTCTTCTTTTTAAACTCTGCCCTACCCCGTCCCGTTGGTGGTTCACACTAATGGAAAGGGGTAAGAAGGGGCTGTCTCATTTGACAGATGAGAAAACTGACCTTAATGGAGAATAAGCAACTTGTTCAAAGTAATTCAACAAGTTGGGTAAGCCCCACGCTGGAGAAGCCATCCTGGAGACCCAGCTAGAAGTCCAAAAATGGAAGATGTGAGCTGACAGGACAAGCCTGGGGGCCAGAACAGCACGGTTTATACCTAACTTCCTCATCACTAGCTGTGTTACCTTGGGAGCAAGTTATCTCAGAGTGTTCAAAATATCGTTCTTTCTATTCCTATACAAGATGTTAAAATTAAGGGAAGATGGTTACAAGCATAAAAGAACTCTCTAACTCTCCTGTGAGTCTAACATTTTCTCATAATAAACATTTTTTAAAAATAGTTTTCCCCACCCAGCTGTAACATGGGGAGAGTAAGGGTGCCTACTTTACAGGAAGCTTATACTGAGCTAATGCCTATAAAGGGATTGGTACAGTGTGGGTCTCACAGTGAAGACTCCGTAGTTCAACTATTGAGCCTTAAAAGCTACTACCTCCAGGGAGCCACTGTCTGACAATCACTTCTTTCTCAATAGCTCCCCACCCTCTCCACTCCAAAGCAGGAGTTTAGTTCAGTCTAAAATGGCAGATGGCCAAGTATGACCACTAACAAAATGTTTGATCCTGGCTCTTACACTTCCCTGCTGAGACCCTGGGCAAATTATTCTATCACTTTGTGCCTCAGTTTCCTTTCTGTAAATAATAAAACTATGTATCATGTGGTTGTCATGCGAATTAAGTGAACAGGAATTTTTCAGTACTTAGAACTCTTCCCGGCCTATAGCAAACACTGAACGCAGGCCTGGACTGTTTTTATGATGCCAATTTTTTCTGACGTGTTTTTTAATATTACAGCGACAAATACACTTTTCATGACAACATACACACATGTGTGCACACATTCACACACGTGACTGTAAAATAGTAATTTGGAAAACACTGGTTCCTAGATGGCTGATCTCCTTTTATTTCCCCCATTAATATATAAGTCTGACTTTTTTCGTTTCCTTCTTTCATTTAATTTACCAAGCCCCTAGCATCCATTCATGCGACATTAAAATATACTGAACATGTATTGGGCACCTACTATGTAGCTGTTGCCCATTAGTGCCCAGCACAGAACACACCTATGTCGAATGAACGAATCAGGAAGAAAAGGATGGCGGGAAGAAGGGAGGAAAGGAAGGAATCCAGGTTCCCGACCGGCTGCAGATCCTGCTTCCACCCCCTACACTGCCACTTCTAGCTTTCTAGGGATGCTGCCGCCTTTCTCGCAGTGCAGGGACCCGCGACCTCAGTCTCTGCGGAGGGAAGTGGGTGCCTGCCCAGACGTCCCGAAGGGGCGGCGCCCGGGACCCGCCCCCTGCCTCCCGCCCCGGGTGCGGGGCGGTGACTGGGAGCCCGGCAGCGTCGCACGCCGGGAGCGCACGCTCCCCACTGCGGGCGGCACGAGCGCCGGGCCCCCAGCCCCGGAGTTGCCCAACAAGCTGGGTGACTCCTCCCCAAAGACCCTCCCCTCGGGGGCGCGTCATCTCCCAACCCCTGGGTCCAGACCCCGGCGGCTTCTCGTGCGCGAACTACGCCGCGGACAAGTCACGGCCACCTGTCCGGAGCCCGGGAGCCTTGGCCCCGTCCGCCCGCGCTTCGGTCGGTGCGCCCAGGGCCCATGGAGCTGCGGGTCAGCAACGCCAGCTGCGAGAACGGTGCGTGCGGAGGGCAGGGACCCGGGCGGGCTGCGTGCCTCGCGCTTTCCCCTCCCCTTCTCAGGCTGTCCTGCCTCGGCTCCTGGGAGACTTTCAGCAGGAGTTGGGTCCCACCCATACTCTAAGATCAGGTTCAGGCTGAGACTTCGTCTCTATCTTGGCGGCTGGGGTGGCTGAGAGGGGTAAGGGGTTGAAAGGGACATACTGGGGAGGAGAGGAGGTAGTTTGGACCAGACAGCTTGAGATGAGGGGGGGATAGGGGGAAGGCAGATGGTTCCTCTGGGTTTTTAAATGTGTAGTTGCTTCAGATTTTGGTACCTGCCCAATTTTGACTGTATCTCTGGATCACTGAGGGCCACCAAAGGTGGACAGGAGAGGGGCACAGAGACTTACCACCCCCAAACCCACACACATCTTTGAGAAAAGTAAAGAGCCTCAGAAAATGATAAGGAAAAATCTTCGGCCTCATGTTAAATTCTTTTTTTTTTTTTTGTTAAGACAGAGTCACAGGCTCAAAGGAGTAGGGCCCTGGCCCCATATGCTGGAGGTGGCAGGTTAAAACCCAGCCCTAGCCAAAACT